ACTGAAATATATCGATGAGACCAGCGCGCGATCCCCAAGCAGTGAGAATAGCACCAGGACTAGGGACAGTCGGAGACAATCGGGAACAAGTACGGCGACGGAAATCGACGGCAGTGCAGGTCAAGACGGGGGCAGGGAGACAGTACAGTCGATGATACGCCTGGCGAATAAAGCTGGCGGCGACGCAGCGTAGCCTTGGGGTCAGAGACAGTACAGTCGACGACACGGCTGGCGAAGGAACCTAACAGAGACGCAGGGCAAATTTGAGGCCAGGGACACTCGTGGATATGGCCATGAAGGGAATGGGTCCAGAGGGAAACGGTCATTCACCCTTCTTCTCGTGAATAATTGTGATGCAATCCTGGGGCCCGTGGAGGGTCCCAGCAGCCCGAAAACTGAGACACGAGTCCAGCACCCCTTTCCTCTACGACCCGTCCCCTTCATGCCATGGCCAGACCTCTTCAGCACAAGCATTGAAAATAGGCGCAAGTGTCCCTGGCGGCTGGTTTGCTGTGTGTGCGTGCGCGCAGAATCCGCCCGCCATATTGCCGTGGCGGGGGTAGCATTCCGGCCTGCGCTCCAGGAGAGGTAAAGCTTGGCGGGCGCAGCCGTGTTTGTTTTGCGCGGCGGCCAAACGCATCGACACGGGTGGTACTCTGGGACGGCTCTCGCCGTCGAGGGATCGAGGAGTTGCCTCTTCGGCGGGAGGCGGCGCCAGCGACACGGGAACGGGTGTTGCCAGAGGTGGCCCTGGCCTGCGGTGTCCCCAGGATTTCTCGGGAGGCCCGCGTGGCCTCCGGGAGCACGTCTCACGGGGCCCACGGGAGCCCCGGGAGGCTTCAAAGTTGCCAGAGGAGCTGTGGACACCTGGGCACCTTGGGCGAGGGCCCCGTCCAGGGTCGGGGACTTTTGGGCAGCGTGTCGCTCCAGGGGTTCCGGCCAGCCACGCTGCGGCGCATCACGCTGTCCGCTTCCCGGCCCCCCAGCGTCAGCGTCCCGAGCCTTTACGGGCCTCCCGCCCCGCGGAGTGAAGCGACCCCCGTGTCCGCTCGCAGGGCATAGCGTGTCGCTGGGGCCGCCACGGCGACACGCGATCCAAAAGTTCCCGACCGTAGCAACCTCTGGATGAAATTGCGCGGGCGCAGCTGCTTCGTTCTACGTGGCGACAGAACGCGGCGACGTAAAAAGCAGTCCAGTCGTTTTGGTGAAACGCCCAAATGTGCCTAGGTGCCGAAGACCTGCACACGTGACGGCCGGGGTCGTCGGGAGAAAGCTGGTTCCAGGACGAGCCAGGGCGCGCTGCCGCGTTATGGCTTGGTTAGCAGGGGCCGCCTCGGGTGTGCATCCCGCCCCTCCCGGGCCCGCACGCCACCGCCGCGACGCCGCGGCGGAGCGGCCTGCAAGAAGGCCCGCCTGCGCTTCGCCACTTGCGCCGTTTCTTTGCTCGTTGCGCGGCCGCCGTGCGCACCACAGGCAGTGCGCGCGCTGATGGTGTGCGGCTCACGGGAGAGAGGCTGGCCGCGCTGTGGCGTGGTCAGCTGTGGCCTTTTCGGGTCCTGGCCCTGCCCTCCCCGGTGGAAATTGGGGGGGGGGGCATCGTCGTTCGAAGCGAAGGCCCGCGCTGCCGAGGGGGGGGGGTGAGGAAGGCGCTCCAGCAGGCCCTCAGCACGGCGCCGGCCGTGAAGGTCGCCAGGTGCGCTGCAAGGCGCGCTGCAAACCCCCCCCACCCACCCCGCAGAGCTTGGAGCCGCCTGGCTATCGCCCGTGCGCTTCCCCTGCCGAGGGGGACAGCGCATCACTGGGCGTGGCGATCTGCGACATGGGCGGTGCCCGCCTCTCGTGGCCCTCGCGCCCCCCGCCGTCGCTGTGTGTCCCACCGCCCCCGGGATCAAAACGAAGCCTTACTCGGAGCAGCGGCGGGCATGGGCAAGTGAGCCCCCCGTAGCGGCCCACCCGCGGGACGTCCCGTGGTTTCCGCCACGCTTGCGGGTGGAAGCGTCGAGCTGGGCCTGACCCTTGCTCGCTGTGGCTGGAGCCCCCTCTCAAAGAAAAAACACGCAGCGGTCCACTGGCTCCTCATGCGGAGGCCCCCCTGGGTCCACGCTAAGGAGCGAGTGACACCACCCACCACGCAAGCCTTCAGAGAGCGTCGAGAGCTGATTCGAGAGAGCCCTTCCGAGACACACTCCGAGCTCGGAGCCGCCAGGGCTGGCAACAGGGGTGCAAGAAAGGACGTACGCAGCCGAATACGCGACCACTCAAGGGCTGGCCGCCTCTGAGACCAGAGGGCCACTCCGAGAAACAAATGTAACCAGTGTTCTGGCGAGAGCATCCATCTGAGCTGGGAGTGCGGTTGTCACTACAGCGAGTTCCATGGGGGAACGAATGGTATGTTTCATTTTCCGCATGCGAGAGTTACCCTCGAGCTCTTGTTGTGATGATCATTCACATGAATACGTTGGATACAGGTATACAGAGATACATACGTGTACATACATATACATGTGTGTACATATACAGTACAGTAGAACTGGACTACACAATGGAAGCCATACTTCGGACACTCTGTTTTAATCTCTCTCTATATATACACACAATACAAGCGTGATGCCAATTGCAACATATCCACGCTTGCCCGCTTTCGCACATTGTTCGCCCCTTCCCTTCATCAAATTCTAGAATGCCTCCATTCCGTCAGTTTATTTATTTCTGTCTGACCGTGCTGGCAGGTTCTCATTATCTCTCTCTTTCTCTTTCTCTTTCTCTCATCTTACGTTTTCGTACTCAACTCAATTGGTCTACCCTCTAAATGCCATCTGCTCTTTATATTAATGAAGACTTCCTGTTCTCTTTGCTCACCTCTGATCCCTACTCCTCAGAAATCATTACACGTTCTATGGTGTAGTCTCTCATGCTGACCATGGTCGCCAGGACCTTGGTATTGACCGCAGCCAAGGCATCAAGAACCCTCGCCAGGGAACCAGAACCGGGACCCGGGAACACGTCCGCCCACAGAAGCCCAGAATTCGGAACCAGGCGTTTGGCCGCCCACCGAATCCGGCCCGCAGTGTTCGCCTATTTTTCCCCGCCTCCGCAAGGGCACCATGAGTGCAATAATTGATTGGGGAATATTTCTGTAGATATATAAATGCATCTATCAATAGATCTATGCATTCTTAACTGTATACACAACGTGCGGTGCTGCCTATGCCCAGCAGGCGGAGGAGCAAAAAGAGAGGAAGAAAAGGAGGAGGGAGAGGAGCTGAAGCAGGAAGAGCTGACACACCGTAGGACAATGCCCATATTATCCCATAGATGGAATCGCTTCGACCTGAGTTCTGCTAGTAGGCTCAAGCACGGCTGCTCCAACTACACATCGAGAGGTTGGCTCTCTTTCTTCGGGCCAGGGCTGGTCAACAGGGAGACAATCATTGACAGTAGATTGACCGCGAACGAGCAACAGCACATGATAACGACGCACGCAACTTTACCAGTCTGCCCTACCAGCCATGCCCGAACATGCCTGACGAAAGAGCGCCAGCTGCCTCCCTGGGAGCGCGGAGTGCTCACGAGACCTTCCCCCGTCTCTCCCAGGCGTGACCACGGTGCCCAAGAGGAACGCACCAGCCGAGCCAGTCCACGCAGGATCCGCCCTCTGCTGCAGGACAGGTTGCGCCAGACAGGTCTCCATGGCCGCCACTTACGTCATTCTGAGACGGTTGTGTTGACTCGCTCTTCGTTTCCACGTTTGTTGCGCCTGCTCGTCCTGGAGAGTGGTGAAGGTCCCGGTCTTTCACCATGTCCCATGGTTTGTTTGGGTCTGGTTCGAGAGCCCGGCGCCATCTACCGCGGCGCCGCGGTACGTATGCAGCTGGGCGCGAAGATAGCCCCGCGTCCTGCATCGCGTGCCGCGACCTGCGAAGATGGGTGGCCTAGGAGGCACATCAGGCGTCGGGGAAGCGGAAGCTGATTCGGTGGATGCTAACAGCCTGGATTTGGAGGCGGAGGGAATGCATCGGAACGGAGGAGGCACGGAGCCGAGGGTGCAGACAAGGATCAGGAGCAGTTTCCGTCTCAGCAGAGGAGGGTGCGAGGCGGTGGAGGAGGTTAGGCAGTTGAAGATGTCCATCGACTTTGTCGCGTGTTTTCTTTATCCTTGTGAGGGCTACTGCACAGGTTACTCTCTGTGGGCTTGGGGCCCAGACCGAAGCGTTGTGAAGCACAATCGCCGAATGCGCCATACGTGAAATGATTTGCACGATGGGGTATCGAACATACGTTTGGCACATGCTCATCTGGCACGTGTCTTCACGCATGCGTGCGCCAAGGGGCGATCAAGCGGACTGGTGTATGTGTTGGCGGGGTGTGGTTTATGGTGTGTGCGTGTGCATCCTCGATGATCTTTGTTTGAATTATGGCAGGGAGAATTCTGATCACCCGCCCCGCCATCCCTACTGGAAACGAACCCAAAGTACTCGCGGGGGTCCCGCTGCACATTGTATTGGGTCTTGACAGGAATCACGGGGGACCACGGTTCTTTGTTGGCGGCTGGTCCAGTGGGAGAGGAGGTGTTTATCAAGAAGGAGCAGTGGCAAACCGCTCCCCGAAGTGGAAGACATGAGGGTGGAAGAACTAACTCCCTGAACTACCTCCGCGCGGAGGGCTGGTGGGATTGTTTCCTCAAGGTCGCGTTGAGCGCGGAGTAGCAACGGCAACTGACATCGGAGAGGACAGCTAAGCACGAAAGTCGCGTATAGTTTCCCCGCCTTCGCCCTCAAGCGAGCACAGTAGAACGTATGTGGAAGTTGGTTGCCTGGCTTGCTTCAATGCAGGAGACTTTGAGGAACGGCTTGAAGCCGGGAGAGAAGCAGGGAGGCTTGGTCGTTTGTCCATGGTTCTCCTCCAAGTGCCGTTCTTGCCAGTCTAGTCCTGTGGAGTGGCACAGGAGCCAAGCGTCTACGCACAGAACCAACGTCCGCTCCTACACCGAACGGCGCGAGATGTTCCGCAAGACGATCAACTGCGCAATTGGCCTCACCTGCGAGGTCTGGGCCTTCCCCTCGTGTTGATGCAATGCATGCTATGGTCAATTATTTGTCTCTCTCTTTATATATGGATGTATACGCATATGCGTATGCACTCGCATATGTACATATATATATATATACAAGACTGCAGTGGCGCTTCGCGCCATGCACCTTGGTCCTGGAAGTGTGGTACGCAAGCGAAATTGTAGGAAGGTCAAGCCGACAATTTAGCGATAACTCCTTGTTGCCTTTTCCGGCATCCCCGCTATAATAATGTGATTCGTTATCCTTCCTCCATGCTTCTGTTCCTCATTTTCGCCATACCCTGCGCATTCTCCCCATCCTCCTCAGCTCTTTATTGCGGAGGCTCCTCCTTGGAGAGCCTCTGGGGGCCTCACAAAAGTTGTTTCAGGCTTTCTTAATGCTTTCAGGAGACCTCCTGGGTGTATTCTGGGGGCCTCTGGGGGCTTCCTCGGGCCACCCTGCCTCCAACCGCGGTCTCCCTGAACGACCGGGTCACGATTTGGAATGCTTCGGAGGGTGTCTAGGGGCCATCTTGGGCCGCCATGGGGCTCCCTGAGGGCCATCTTGGACCCGTGTTGTCCCGTTTTGGGGCTCTCTCGGACTGCCTGGAAGCCCTTTCGGATGTTTGTGGGGCGATTTGGGAGCCTCCCGGGCGGCTTCGGACGTCCAGAAGACCGCCGTCTTGGAGCGTCGGGAAGCCGAAAAGAGGAGAACCCCAAAATTCACCAAAAACCCACAGAAAACTAATGAGTTTTGCCTCTTGGGGCCTTCTTGGGAGTGCTATTGGAGGCCTCTGGCCTCTTTGGGGCCGTCCTGGAGGCCTCTTGGACCATCTTGAGGTTACGTCGGTCACTCTTGGAGCGCTCTTGTGCTGTCTTGGGGGTCTCTGGGACGTCTCCGATGACCCCCCTGATCGCCCCAGGTGTGCTGCGAAGGCTTGTCAAAACGCCCTGCGAGGCCCGGGGGGCCGCTTCGAGGCCCGTCCGGAGGGTTCCAAAGCCCCAGATCCCGGGAGTCCGGTTTTTTTTGGGGGGGGGGACAGGTTTTCCCCCCGCCCGGGCTTATAAAAATATAGGAAGAGGAATATGGTGTGTATATATATATATATATAAAGGTATCATAGATGTGTATGCGTATGTAAATGCGTATGCAGAGGATCCTGTACGTGCATATGGATCGGTATATGTGTAAGTAAATGGCTGTGCATATGTATATGTATATGTGCATTCTGCCTGTATGTATATAGTTAGTAGATGATCTATATGTAAATATATGTATCTTAAGGGCTTCGCCCTCCGCCACCGGCCCCCCTATTACTTGTGCGGGCGGCTGCGCGGGTAGCGTCATGGCAGGCCTCTCGGCAGCGTCTGCGGGTCATTGTTGGAGCTTCTTGGAAGCCGTTTTGGAGCATCTTGGCGCATATGTTGTGTCTCTTGGGGGTCTTCTTGTGGCATCTTGGGGGCCTCTTGGGGGCCTCTTGGGGCCTCTTGTGGCCCTCTCGGGGCGGAAAGGTCGAGTGTTCGGTTCGTGGACTCCCTCTTGGGCTTCTCTTGGGACCGTGTTAGGGCCCTTGGGGGCCGTCCTGGGCGCCTCCTGGGGCCGTCTTGGGACCCTCTTCGGCCGTCTTGGGGCCGTCTTGGGGGCCTCTTGGGCCGTCAGGGTAGCTTCTAGGGCCGTCGTGGGGCGATCTTGGGAACCTCTTGGTCCGCCTCGGAGCGTCGGAAAGCCGAAAAGGCGAGAAGGCCAAAAACCTCCAAAAACATTAGGGAAATTGTTGATGTTTGCTTCGTGGGGCACTCTTGGAAGGCCTCTTAGAGGCCTCTTGGGCCGTCTTGGGAGCATCTCGGGCCGTCTTGGGGCCATCGTTGGACATCTTGGGGCCATTTTGGGCCGTCTTGGGCTCCTGAGGCTCTCTTCGGAGCCTCTTAGGGCAATCTTGGAGGCCTCTCGGGCCGTTCTGGCCGCGCGGTGGCGTCACTATGAGAATCCTGGGGTGGCCCGGAGCACCCAGGAGTTGAGGTTCACCCCCCCCTGTTGGCTGTTTGGTGGCGCGGCGGGGCCTCCTAGCAGACAGTAAACAGGAGGCAGGAAACAGGACTGGAGAGACAAAAGGCCAAACACCAAATGACAACACATGTAACACATGACAGCGAACCGCACACACCTTCGCAGCCTTGCGCTCCCAGAGGGGGTATGGCTGCGTATGTGTAGCAATATGGCTGCGTATGTGTAGTAATATATGATTACACATGTGTTTGGAAATGAAAATGTATGTACATGTGTATGGATGTATGCAGTATGCATGTGCAGTTATATATGTAAGTTTATATGTATGTATATATGTATGCATGTGTGTATGTATATATGTATGTATATATGTATGTATGGATGTATGGATGGATGGATGGATGTATGTGTGTATGTATGTATGTATGTATGAATGAATGAATGAATGTATGTATGTATGTATATGTATGTATGTATGTATGTATGTATGTATGTATGTATAGGTATACGTATCTGCATGTGTATATGCATACGTTCATGTGTATGGTTCTGAAATTTGTAGATGCGTATATCTATGCAGATGTATATGCAGATGTCTAGTATGCGTATATGTGTAAGCTTGTGTATAGGTATGTGTATGTGCATACGCAATGTGTGCATATGTATGTGTAGGCGCATGTGCTTATGCATAAATATGCGTATAGGTATACGTATGCGTATGCATTATGTGTGTATTTGGGTGGGTAGAGAGGGAGGTAGGTAGGTAGGCAGGTGTGTAGGTATGTATGTTTGTTTGCTGTCTCGTACATCGTGAGTGTATGTTCGACTGTGTGTTCGTTTGTTGTTATATTCCTTTCCCTATATTTTTATAAGCCCGTGGGGGGGAAACCCGTCCCCCCCCCCCCCCCCCAGAACCAGACTCCCGGGATCTGGGGTTTGGGGACCCTCCGGGCGGGCCTCGAAGCGCCCCCCCAGGCCTCGCAGGGCGTTTTGCCGAGCCTTCCCAGCACACCTGGGGCGATCAGGGTGGTCATCGGAGACGCCCGAAAGACCCCCAAGACAGCACAAGAGCGCTCCAAGAGTGACCGACGTGACCTTAAGATGGCTCAAGGGGCCTCCAGGACGGCCCCAAAGAGGGCTCCAAGAGCACTCCCAAGAAGGCCCCACGAGGCACAAATCTTTGATTTTCTATTGGTTTTTGGTGGATTTGGGGGTTGTCTTTTCGGCTTCCCGACGCTCCAAGACGGCGGTCTTCTGGGCGTCCGAAGCCGCTTGGGAGGCTCCAAACTCGCCCCACAACCATCCGAAAGGGCTTCCAGGCAGCCCAAGAGAGCCCCAAAACGGCTCAACACGGGTCCAAGATGGCCTCCAGAGAGCCCCATGGCGGCCCAAGATGGCCCCTAGACACCCTCCGAAGCATTCCAAATCGTGACCCGGTCGTTCAGGGAGACCGCGGTTGGAGGCAGGGTGACCCGAGGAAGCCCCCAGAGGCTCCCAGAATACGCCCAGGAGGCCTCCAGAAGGCCTTAAGAAAGCTTGAAAAAGCTTTTGTCAGGCCCCCAGAGGCTCTCCAAGGAGGAGCCTCCGCGAAAAAGAGCTGAGGAAGATGAGGAGAATGCGCAGGGTATGGCGAAAATGAGGAAAAGAAGCATGGAGGAAGAATAACGAAAAACATATTTATAGCAACGATGCCCGAAAAGGCAACAAGGAGTTATCGCTACATTGTCGGCTTGACCTTCCTGCAATTCCGCCCGCATGCCAATTTTCAAGGACCAAGGTGCATGGCGCAAAGCGCCACTGCAGTCTTGTATATATGTATATATATTTATATATATATATATATATATATATATATCCGTATTCGTATATATGTATATCTGTGTATGTATGTACGCATGTATGTACGTATGTATTTACCTGTTCCAGTCTCGTCGCAGGAGTCTACCGTTACATCTGTTTGCGCCCAAGCACGGCGATAATATGGTTCTGTGATCTTTGCAGTGTAGTATATGGGATGTGATGGTGTGATGGTAGCTGACGAGGAGGAGGATGGGGAGCAGGAAGAGGAGGAGGAGAAAGGGGAAGAGGAAGACCTTCACATGTGACACCTTGCGTTTTCACTATCAGGGGAGCTCACACGGAACTCGTTTGGGCCATCTTGGGGCCCTTTTGGCCGTATGGTGGGTGTCTGGGCCGTCTTGGTGCCGTCCTGGACAGTCGAATGGCCTCGTAAGGCCGTATTATGTCCTACCTTAGACCCTCTTGGACCGTCTTGGATGACTCTTGGGCCCTCGTGGGGTCCTCTTCGGCCATCTCTGGACCCTCGTGGGGGCCTCTTGGGCCGTCTTGAGAGGCCATCGTGGAGGCGTCATGGGCCGTCTTGAGCTTGAACACCATTGAAAAAAAGTGGAATAACTAATTTCGGCTTCTTCAGGCCCCGTCGGAGGTCCTCGTGTGGCCCGGTAGCTCCTTCTTGGAGGCATCCTGGGCCGTTTTGAGGCCAGATTCGGCCCCCTTGGGGCCATCCTGGCCTGTCTTCGATGCATCTTGGGCCATCATGGTGTCCTTGATTGCCTGCATGGGCCGTCTTGGAAGCTTGGGACGTGGATCCATGGTTTTTAATAAGGCGTCGTGGCTTCGGGGGCGCGGATCCATAGTTCTTCTTACGAGTGGTCGTGGCTGTGGGAGGGGGGGATGCATGCTTCACTCCGTGTGTAGGGGGGCGCCTTATGAGAACACAGAAGCTTACATACAGATCAGATCAGCACCTGGCAAATACATAATGGAGGGTAGGGAGTGGAGAGTACAGTTGGGGAGTAGAGAGTAGAGAAGAAAAAACAGATAATGAAGAGCGGCTGAACTGGAAGCCTGTGTGTGGGCCATCGTTTATCTAGGTGATGCGTTGCAGGACCCTGCCTCGGCGAATTTCAATCCTGAGCTTTGGCAGCCTATCGAAACCAGTCCTCTCCCCAGACGTGTGGTAGCATTTCTGACGACTTCTGTTGTTGCATTTTCCGGTAACTCGTGGTAGGCATAAGCGGAGCACGAATGATGTGGCAATCTCGAGCTGTAGCCAACGTTAGCCCAGATTGTGCCGTCCCTGTGCTTCTGCCCAGCGCGTGCTCAGACATGGGCTGCACCGCTCTTAAAGTAAGAAAGTAAAGTAAAAAGAAGAGCATAGTATATAGATGGAGGGAGGGAGAGAGAATGGAGGAGTCAGAGAGAAATATAGAGAACATGTGTATGAATGCATATATATGTGCTTGGAAGAGTGTTCAGCAAACAGATAACAGGGGCTGACTAGTAGATGGCAGGGAGTCGACCGCACAGGCGGGGAGTGGAGAGCAGATGGCATATATTAGACAGCAGATGGTAGAACGCAGAGAGTACAGAGTAAATGGTCAATGTTAGGGAGGCAGAGAGTGGAGGTCACAAGTAGAGACTAAAGCAGAGAGTAATAGTAAAGAGTCGTGGGTAGAGAGGAGATTGTAGAGAGTAAGGAGTCGATAGTATAACGAAGAGTCGAGCGGAGAGGGTAGGGATATAGTATATTAGAGGGTAAAGTGCATGTCTACACAAACACCCCATATATGTTGAGAGAGCGAGACAGAGAGAGAGAGAGACAACAACACAAAGTCTATCGAACATATCTCCTCCAGATCAGAGGTTTGGGGTGAAAAACAAGCGAAACGAGAACCTACCACGGGGAACTCGGTTTCGGCAATCGGTTTCGGCTCCGTGCTCGTATCGTGCGCGCGGGCGAGGCGAAGCTGTGCGCGCGGGCGAGACGAGTGATCCCGCCGTCAGAGAGAGAGAGAGGGAGAACGTGTATATAATATATATATATATACACATACATATTTAGACAGAGAGAGAGAGAGATACAGAGAGAGAGAGAAAGGAAGAGCGAGAGAGGAAAACAAATAACAGAGAGAGATAGAGAGAACAAAAAGAGAGATCGAGAGAGAGTGAAGAGAGTGGAGACTAGGAAGTGCAGAGTAGAAGGTGAAGAGTAGAGAGTCGATTTGCATCCACTCTGGAGTCACGACGCTCGATCCTCTACACTTTTCTCCGCGCTCTCTACCCTCTGTTGCTTGCAGTCTATATATGTATGTATGTATGTATGTATGTATGTATGTATGTATGTATGTATGTATGTATGTATGTATGTATGTATGTATGTGTATATATATATGTATGTATCTATACACATATATCGAGCGGAGTGAGGTCATGCCGCTCACGCGAATCCGTTTCAAGTCGTGCACGCGTTGGCTGCCTCGGGGCAGGCAAACGGCGTCGCGATTATTGGATGATTATTCTTATTATTTTCTGGCCTGGGGGGGTGGGGGGGGGCAGCGGGGCCCAGCTGGGGGGGTCCCAAGCGCACGTCCATGGGGGTCCCGGGGGCGGGCCCGGAGGCCCCACCGCGGGGGGCCCGCTGTCGCAGGGGCCTTTTGGTTGACCCAAAAGGGGGTCCAGCTGAAAGGGGGTGGTGCAACAGATTTGGGGCAAGTGGATTGCAAATGTATTGCGCCGGAGACTTGTATTGCATTGTGTTGCGTGTAATGTATTGCGCGCGAAAATGCGGGAATAGATTTGCGCCCCAAAATGTATTGCACGCCCCAGATGTACTGCAACCCCACAGATCTATTGCACCAAATCTGTTGCACCACCCCCTTGTCGCTGGACCACCTTTTGGGTCAACCCGAGGCCCGCCGCCGCGGGGCTCACGGGTGGCGCCGGTCGTTTGGGGGCCCGGGGGAGGGGGCCCGGGGGCCCCCTCGCGGGGGGCCCGCGGCGTCGTGGGGGCCCGTCGCCGCGCTGCCCACGGGTGGCGTTGGTCTTGGCTTCGCGGAAATGCCGTGCTGAAAGACGAAAATCGGTGCTGGCGGCGGGCTTCTTCACTGATTGTTCCGTTCCGCTTTTTCCAGTAGCCCGTTCGGGGGGCCCGCGGCCTCGTGGCGGCCCGTCGCCGCGGTCCTTTGTGGAAAACGGCATCCATCCGTGATCTCCGTAGTTGTCTTGTGGCTCCGCGCTCGCCGCGCCGAGACCACAGTAACCCCTCACCCCTATCCGCATATGCAGGGGGTATGGGTATATACTCCGCACGTATACTCTCGCCCCTCCATTTCCGATGCTATAAACTTTGCTCCGTATCTCTTTTTTCTCCCAGCCATCCTGTGGTGTTGGGTCCTCGTTTTGAAGAGACAGTGCCGTGCGTCCCTCCTTCTCTCCTCCTCCCCCTCCTCCCTCCCTCCTCCCATCACCATCATTATCATCATCGTCATCGTCATCGTGGTCGTCGTCATCATCATCAACATAATGGCCGCCATCATCATCATCATCATCATCATCATCATCATCATCATCATCATCATCATCATCATCAGCAGCAGCAGCATCATCATCACCATCGGCATCGGCATCGGCATCGGCATCATCATCATCATCATCATCATCATCATCACCAGCATCACCAGCATCAACATCAACATCATCAGCAGCATCATCATCATGGCCGTCATCATGACCATGATCGTCATCATCACCATCACCGTCATCGTCTTCGTCACACCCCTCACACGCTTCGTGACCCCATAGGGAGCTCCACCTAAGTTCCCAGTGGCGCAGTCCGCATGGCGGCGCCGCCCCATTTTGGAACACCCCTCACACGTTTCGTAGCCCCATAAGGAGCTCCACCTAAGGTGCCAGTGGCGCAGTCCGCATGGCGGCGCCGCCCCATTTTGGCACATCCCTCGCACGTTTCGTGGCCCGATGTGGAGCTCCACCTAAGGTCCCAGTGGCGCAGTCCGCATGGCGCCGCCATATTTTTGCATTCTGGCGCACCACTCAGACGTTTCGTGGCCCCATAGGGAGCTCCATCTACGGTCCCAGTGGCGCAGCCCGCATGGCGGCGCCGCTCTATCTTGGCACACCTCTCACACTCTTCGTGGCCCCATGGGGAGCTCCACCTAAGGTGCCAGTGGCGCAGTCCGCATGGCGGCGCCGCCCCATTTTGGCATCTCTCACACGTTTCGTGGCCCCATAAGGAGCTCCACCTAAGGTCCCAGTGGCGCAGTCCGTCCGCATGGCGGCGCCGCCCTATTTCTGTATTCTGGCACACCACTCACATGTCTCGTGGCCTCATGGGGAGCTCCACCTAAGGTCCCAGTGGCGCAGTCCGCATGGCGGCTCCGCTCTATTTTGGCACACCTCTCACACGTTTCGTGGCCCCATAGGGAGCTCCACCTAAGGTCCCAGTGGCGCAGCCCGCATGGCGGCGCCGCCCTATTTTGGACAACCCCTCAAACGTTTGGTGGCCCCATAGGGAGTTCCATCTAAGGTCCCAGTGGTGCAGTCCGCATGGCGGCGCCGCCCCATTTTGACACACCCCTCGAACGTTTCGTGGCCGCATAGGGAGCTCCACCTACCCAAGGTCCCAGTGGCGCAGTCCGCATGGCGGCGCCGCTCTATTTTGGCACACCCTCACACGTTTCGTGGCCCCACAGGGAGCCGCACCTCAGGCCAGTGGCGCATCTCTCATTCCCCCTTCTCTCTGATATCCTGATCTCCGATGGAAGCGGATACCACTCAAAACAGCGGGAGTAGATTTGTTTGCAGCCCCCTCATTATCGCGAGTCATGCTTGCATGTGCTCCAAGTTCGGGGTTCGTGACGCGAGGGGGTCTGGGCGCGAAACAAAAATAACACCAGACCTTTCCTGGGTCGCGTTCCGGCCAGAATTTCAAGGTGGATCCACCAAAAGACCCAAACATGGCGGAACATACCGACAAGTTTTGATACTCGAAGTTCGTTCTTTCTCAAGCCTCGTTTGGGCAGCCTCCATTCTTTGCCTGAGCATCCGCAGGGCTGGAGAAGACCCTCGCCGACTCCAGGCCGTGGAGCCGGAGGGCGCGCTGGTCGGCGGCGGCCGAGCCAAGGAGGCCATGCCTCACTTCGCGAATGCGCAGGGGAGGGAGAAATAGGCACAGACACAAATAAACGTCGATTCCCAGGAAAATATGGGAAGTGGAGAGGGGAAGACGAACATCCAGAGAATATGGCAAAGGCTGCAAATATCAAATAACCTGGAGTGTCAGAAACCACAGCGTGCTATGCTTCGCCAGTTTGCTACGGAAAAAAACCACCGCGGCGAGTTTTGGGCAGCCTTGCACTGCTTGAGAGAGCCGTGCCCGCCAATCGGGTCCGACCGCAAAGCGGTCGAAAGAGAGCGAGTCCTGGGATTTGTGCCTACTTCTTTTTGTGTCCCTGGGCTTTTTTTTTTTTTTTTTTTTTTTTTTTTTTGTTTTTTTTGTTTTGTTTTTTTTTTTTTGCAATCCTTCATCCAGTGTAGGAGGGTAAGGATCAGGAGCGACAGAAGGACGTACACGTACACGAATCCACGCCAGTTTCGAGAGTACGCATTGCGCAAATGTTCGTATAGCGCGGCCGGTCTCGCGGATCGAAGGGCCGTGTTCATGTACATAGCTGGGCGCGTACGTCCTTTGTTGGCTCCCTAAAGGAGCAGAGCTCCGAATCATCGGAGCTGGGGGTGGCCAGGGGTAGTTGCAGCTCCCGACTCGTGCCTCGGGGCCCAGACCAGAGTGACTCCGGACCGCTGTTATCCCGGATATTTCGTGCGTCCAACCTCCCCAGGATCAACGGGGCCGGGGGTGGTCCGGGGTAGCTCCTGGATCGTGCGTTGGGGGCCCAAACCGGAATTGCCCCGGACCGCAGATTTCCCGCATGATTCGGGCGTCCCCGAGCAGGGTGAGGAGGGCAACATCACGAGAAGGGGGGGGCGGCGAGGCTCCTCCAATTGATAGTCGAGGCGCTGACATACGGACCACTATTGGCTCAGGAGGGGCTCAGGTTTTCTGGCCGTTCCTCAGGTCTGGCTCGGGGGACCTGATCTCGGCCGAGGCTCGCCGTGGCCAGGAGAACCCTTCCGTTTCTTTTTCAACGTTCCTCCTGTCAGTGCCATGACTGCAGGAGAGGGAGGATCGGATGGGGCTATAGGACAGTGTTGAATCCGTTCTTGAGCGTTCTGGAACACTCTCAGAGCTTTCCGGGATGCTATGAGAAGGCCGCGGCGCCCGACAAGTCCCCCAGAGCCGCCGGATCTCAGAGATTCCCGATTTGTCTTCACCCGATGTAGTCCTCGTCCTGGGTTCGTCTTAGAAGAGGAGGAGGAGGAAGAGGAGGAGGAGGAAGAAGAGGAGGCAAGAGGAGGAGGCGAGGCGGAGAAGGAGGAGAAAAGGGAGGAGGAGGAGGAGGAGGAGGAGGAGGAGGACGAGGGTAGTATCATGAGGAGGGGCAGCATCACGAGGAGGGGCAGGCCTCGCCCTCGGCGGCATGCGGCGGAGGTAGGACGGGGCCAGATAGACCTGCGGAAGGCCGGCGACAGCAGAAGGCGCTCCCCCAAGAGGTGCCAACATCTACAGAGTCTGGGCGGGTTTGGGTGCAGCTAGGAGCGAACGGTCCCCGCTCCCGCCTCTCGACCAGCCTGAAGGTTTTTTTTTTCCGGGGGGTCTGCAAAAGGCCCAGGGTGAGGGCACACTTCGCCCCCGCTTTGCGGCTCCGCCTCCTGAGGGGCTCGTAGCAGTGCTCATTCACCGAGGGGCCCTCTCCCTTCCGTCTCCTTGCCCCTCTATCCGACTCCACCTGGCGGCACTGGGGCCAAAGACAGCGGCCTACGCTTCCTCATAGATAAAGTTCTTAGCCGTTGTAGCGCACGGCGGGACGCCAAGCTTCCAAAGAACAAGTTGGTCGGAGTTCCATCTGGTCGGAGTTGCATCTGGTCTGACTAGTCTGGTTGGTCTGGCTGGTCTGGTTGGTCCAGTTTGAGCTTGGTGCTGAGGCTTTAGCTTAGGTTTCAGGCGAGAGTGGTTAGGGGGAGGTCCGGGGAGGCAGCGACAACCACTACCACCGAAAAGCAGTTTTTTTTGCATTGCAGTTTTTTTGCATTGCAGTTTTTTGTTGCATCTGGTCTGGCTGGTCTGGTTGGTCTGGTTTGAGCCTGGTGCTGAGGCTTTAGCTTAGGATTCAGGCGAGAGTGGTTTAGGGGAGGTCCGGGGAGGCAGCGACAACCACTACCACGACCGAAAAGCAGTTTTTTTGCATTGCCGTTTTTTTGTTGCATTGCAGTTTTTTGCATTGCAGTTTTTTTTTGCATTGCAGTTTTTTTGCATTGCAGTTGTTTTTGCATCTGGTCTGGCTGGTCTGGCTGGTCTGGTTTGAGCCCAGTGCTGAAGTTTTTTTTGCATTGCAGTTTTTTTTTGCATTGCAGTTTTTTTTGCATTGCAGTTTTTTTTGCATTGCAGTTTTTTTTTGCATCTGGTCTGGCTGGTCTGGCTGGTCTGGTTTGAGCCCAGTGCTGAAGTTGTTTTTGCATTGCAGCTTTTTTTGCATTGCAGTTTTTTTTGCATTGCAGTTGTTTTGCATCTGGTCTGGCTGGTCTGGTTGGTCCAGTTTGAGCTTGGTGCTGAGGCTTTAGCTTAGGATTCAGGCGAGAGTGGTTTAGGGGAGGTCCGAGGAGGCAGCGACAACCACTACCACGACCGAGAAGCATTTTTTTTTGCATTGCTGTTGTTTTTTTGCATTGCAGTTTGTTTTGCATTGCAGTTTTTTTTGCATCTGGTCTGGCTGGTCTGGCTGGTCTGGTTGGTGTGGTTTGAGCCTGGTGCTGAGGCTTTAGCCGTCGTCGTCGCCGTCGTCGTCGTCGTCGCCGTCGCCGTCGCCGTCGCCGTCGCCGTCGCCGTCGCCATCGCCGTCGCTGTTCTCGATGCGGGTTCCTTTGGCTGGTTTTGCCGGGGTCCCCCGGGGCAGCGGGCACTCGGGCAGACTTGGGGGGAGCTCTGTGGATTCTGAGCTTCGGATCTCTTTTGGCTGGTTTTGCCGGGGTCCTCTGGCAGCCGCCGTCGTCGTCGTCGTCGTCGTCGTTGCCGTTGCCGTCGCCGCGTCGTCGTCGTCGTCGTCGTTGCCGTTGCCGTCGTCGTCGTCGTCGTCGTCGTCGTCGTCGTCGTCGTCGTCGTCCGTCGCCGTCGCCGTCGCCGTCGCCGTCGCCGTCGCCGTCGCCGTCGCCGTCGCCGTCGCTGATCTCGATGCGGGTCCTTTTGGCTGGTTTTGCCAGGGTCCCCCGGGGCAGCGGGCACCCAGGCAGACTTGGGGGGAGCTCTGTGGATTCTGAGCTTCGGATCTCTTTTGGCTGGTTTTGCCGGGGTCCTCTGGCAGCCGCCGTCGTCGTCGTCGTCGTCGTCGTCGTCGTTGCCGTTGCCGTCGGGTTCTCAACTATAAACTGGGACTGGGTGGGTGGGTGCGTCAGCACTGATAAAGTTCTTAGCCGTGTAGCGCACGGCGGGACGCCAAGCTTTCAAAGAACGAGTTGTTCGGAGCTGCATTTGGTCGGAGTTGCATCTGGTCTGGCTGGTCTGGCTGGCTTGGCTGGTCTGGCTGGTCTGGTTTGAGCCCAGTGCTGAAGCTTTAGCTTAGGATCTGGGCGAGAGTGGTGTAGGGGAGGTCCAGGGAGGCAGCGCCGGGGACGACCACCGAAAAGCAGTTTTTTTGCATTGCAGTTTTTTTGCATTGCATTTTTTTTGCATTGCAATCTGGCTGGTCTGGCTGGTCTGTTTTGAGCCCAGTGCTGAAGCTTTAGCTTAGGATCTGGGCGAGAGTGGTTTAGGGGAGGTCCAGGAAGGCAGCGCCGGGGACGACCGCCGAAAAACGGTTTTTTTTGAATTGCAGTTTTTTTTGCATTGCAGTTTTTTTTGCTCTGGCTGGTCTGGTTTGAGCCCAGTGCTGAAGCTTTAGCTTAGGATCTGGGCGAGAGCGGTTTAGGGGAGATCCAGGGAGGCAGCGCCGGGGACGACCACCCATGTATTTCAAGCCACCTTTTCGCCCCCAAAAGGTAGCTTGAAATACCAGCTATTTTTTGGGCCGTTCCGTAATGGGCGACGACGACGACGGCGACGGCGACGACGACGACGACGACCGACGACGACGGCGACGACGACTCACACCGCATAGCTTGCATAATACATCCTATACCACATATGTTCCACCGCGTAGCTCAAACAACATAGCACATACCACATAGGTTGCACTTCCATGGTGCAGCAACTTGCTGTTTGGGGCCCGCGACGGCCGACATATTCCAAATTCGCTTTTTGCTTTCGCTTTCACACCCCTTTTGGACAAAAAAACACCCATGCATTTCAAGCCACCTTTTCGCCCCCAAAAGGTGCCTTGAAATACCAGCCATGTTTTGGCCGATCCGCGGGCGAGAAATTAATTGGCGACGACGCCCGACGACGGCGACGACGACGACGACGACGACCGACGACCGACGACGACGACGACGACCGACGACGACGGAAAGGGGATGGCGACGGAGGGAACATCAGCAGCCATATCAGTTCTTATGCCCCAAAGCAAAGTAAGGCGCTGGGGCATAAGAACTTTGCGCCTCGAGCGGCTTGGAATAGTCCTCACCCTCTTTACCTTCCCCTTCCTCACTATTACCCTACCTCCATCACCCATCTGTCTCCTATTCCTGATTTCCTACCTCCTACCAACCCCTCTCCCCGCGTTTCCTCCTCCCCCTCCTCCTTCCCGAATCCTTATCATGACTCCTCATCCTCTCCCTAATCCTCCACCTCCTCATCATTCCTCATCTCCTCCTCCTCCGCCGCCTCCTGTTCCTGCTCCTGTCCCGCCTCTTGAGTATTCCCTTTCTCCTCATCCTCCGTCTGTAGTTCGTCTTGTCGTGGTAGTTTCTATTCTCGTGCTCCTACTACCCTCGTCCAAATTAACCTCAAATCTGGCGGACATGCCACTTCGAAGTCGGCGCGCCCTTCAATGTCGATACGGCGCCCCTCCAATGTCTGGGCCAGGGAAAAAGGGGTCTGAGTGGGAGCGAGTCGGAAGTTCGATGACCGACATTGGAGGGGCGGCGCATACAACTACCTTGCACTCATCGCTACTCAAGCAAATATCTTCCCGTACGCAGCTCAGCTACGTAAAACATTTTGAGGCCCCGAACCCGAAAGTCGCCATTCGTCGGGCAGTCCTCTTATCTCGTGAATCGTCCTCCCGTCGATCGGGCGGGCGCTATCGCCTTCCGCTTCGCCCGCTGTGTTTGTTCTGGCAGGGGGGTCCTGCCTCTCCGTTCCCCTCTGACAGGGTCGCTCCCGACTCGGGTGTACGCCGTGTTCCTCCTGCGTCTGCTTCTGCCTGCTTCCTCCTCCTCCGCCTCCTTTATCCTCTTACCCCTCTGCCCCAACCTTTGTCCTCCTCCTCCTGGCGCCTCCATGCCTCCTCGATCTCCCTCCAACTCCTGGCTCCCCGAGGACCCGCATGGCCGGCCTCGCCTGGCAGCGGAGGAGCCGCGGTCGAGGGCGCTCCAGGCGTTGGAGAGGCCGTGCCTCATCCCACCTGGGCGGTGATGGCGACCGTGATGACGATGACGATGACGATGACGATCATGATGATAATGATAATGATGATCACGATGATGATGATGGTGCGGAGGATGGTGACGATGCTGGTGATGGTGATGGTGATGATGATGCTGGTGCTGATGATGACGATGACGGTGACGATGACGATGACGATGATGATGGTGGTGGTGATGATGGTGATGATGATGATGCTAATGGCGCTGATGATGATGCTGGATGATGATGATGATGCTGCTGCTGATGCTGATGATGATGATGCCGCTGGTGCTGGTGCTGGTGCTGGTGCAGTTGATGGTGATGCTGATGCTGATGCTGCTGATGATGTTGATGGTGATGGTGATGGTTGATGGTGGTGGTGATGCTGATGCTGATGGTTTGGATGTTGGTGGTGAGGAGAAGGAGGAGTGAGAGATACCGGGAAGGAGGAGAGGAAACGGTAGTGGTGAGGAGGAGGAGGAGCACGAGTAGGAGAAGCAGGAGGAGGGGCAGGAGGAGGAGGAGGAGGAGGCAGACAGGAATAGTTGGAGTATGAGGAGGAGGAGGGAGAGGGTAGGATGAAGTGTTGCCCTCTCCCCCATCCTCCCCGTTTCTTCCCCCCCCCTCCTCCTCCCCCTCCTCCTTCTCCTCTTCCTCCTCCTCCTCCCGTCCTGCTTTATCCTCCCTCCCCCTCCTTCCTCATCATTAATCCGCCCTCCTCCTCCTTCCTCCCAGTTCGTCGGGCAAGCACGACGCTGCGGTGGGGCGAAGCCCTCTAGGGAGGGGGCGCAGGGGAGGGAGGGTTGCGCGACCAGGCCGAGGTAACTGGGTCTACTTTAGCCCCAGACTGCCCAAGTGAGGCCCCATAGCGGCCAAGACAGCCCCAACCCAAGATGATCCAAGCAGCGCCCAAGACGGCCTGATATATTTCCAAGACGGCCGAAGAGCGCTCTACGAGAGCCCCAGATCACCCAAGAGCGTTTCAGGATGGCCTAAGGTGGCCTGAAGACTGTCAAAGAGGGCCCCAAGAAGGCTGAAGAGACCCACAAGAAGATGCCCAAGATGGCCGTCGGATGCCAAACATACCAAACATATTGATTTCCATATGTGTTTGAAGGTTGCTGGGCGCCTCGCCTGTTCGGGCTTCCGACAGCCCAAGACGGCCCAAGAGAGGTCCCAAAGATCACCCCAAGACGATCGAGGATGGTCCCAAGAGGCTCAGGTGCCCCCGGGAGGTCCGAAGAGGGCCCCAAGAGGCCCGAAGAGGGACCAAGCCCCGCCGGACGGCCCAAGAGACACTCAAGAGGACCCCCATGAGCAATTAAACATAATTGATGTTCCTTAGGCGTTCAATTGAGTTTGGGGTTCTCGCCTTTTCGGGCCAAAATCGGGTGAGGACGGCTCTGGGAGCGCCCGAGATTGCCCCAAGACGGTCCAGGAGGCTCCCAAGAGGGCCCAAAGACTGCCCAAGGTGGCCCCGGAACGGCCCAAGAGGGCCCCAGGACGTCCCGAGAGGCTTCCGAGATGACCTCCAAGACGGCGGCCTCTGGAGGCACAGGACATGGATTTCCCTCAGGCAGATCGACTGAATACTGCTCTGGAAGCCTCCGAGATTGGTCCCCAACTGCCCAGGAGGCTCCAAAGAGGGCATCAAGACGGCCCAAGAGGGCCCAAAGACGGCCACAGAGAGCCCGAGAGCCCCACCCAAGAGGGGCCCAAGAGTGCAGAAGCGTGCCACGAGGAAGCCCCTAAGAGGGCCGAAGACGGCCCCAAGAGGGCCCCAAGGCAGTCCGAGCCCCCCAAGACGGCCCAGGAGGGCCCCAGGACGGCCCAAGAGGGCCCAAGACATCCAAAACGGCCGCCAGAGGACCCGCAAGAAGAACGAGGTGGCTAAATTCAAGTCTTGTCGCAAGGTCTTCGCTGGATTGTTTGTTCGACGTTACTTCCAACACCGAGGCTCCTCAGAAAGGACGGTGATGTGAGCCCTCGGGCCCAAAGACGACTTAGTGACGGACGCAACTTCGACGCCAAGGTACCCGCCCCCGGACGGCCCAACGATGGACACAGTTTTGATGCCAAGGCCCCCGAGGGCTCCAGGTGATTGGAAAGCTCTGCTTGCACAGGTTGATGACGTACAGATTCTGAGTGCCAAGGCTCCTACGAGTGAACAGTGCTGCAGAAAGCTCTGACGCCAAGGCTCCCAAGAGCGAACGGTGACGAACAAAACTATCAACGCCAAGACTCCCCAGAGCGAACGGTGAAGTAATCAGCTCTTAACGCCAAGGCTCCCAGGCGGGAACGGTTACGTAAAGAGCTCTCAACGTCAAGGTTCCCAAGAGCGAACGGCACCATGAGCCCGTTCGGCCAAGTTCCTGAAGCGCTCTTTCCGTGTCCGTGCCGGCCAGGTGACGGAAAGAGCAAGGTACGAGTGATGACGTGCTGGTGAAGTGAAGCCCTAAAGGGGAGTGACGGAAAGTGCGAGGTACAAGGCATGACGTTTTGGTAGAGCGAAGCCCGCTAAGGAGGGGGGCCCACAGGAACCAGAACCAGTCTAACATGCGTTTTCTTGTTAGAGATCGCATGTACAAGGACAAGCGGAGGCCTACATGTATGAAGACCTCGGTTTACAAGGGAATCCCCTGCAAAGCAATGCATGTACGGATGTAGAGTTCGATGTGCAAGGAATCTTGTTGTAAAGCTGTACTCGCATGGATGTGCACACCGATTGTGAAGGCCTGACGGCCGGTGCCGCCGACCCTGAAAGACATCGACGACGACCAGGAGGGGGAGGAGGAGGAGGAGGAGGGAGGAGGAGAGGAGGAGGAGGAGGAGGAGGAGGAGGAGGAGGAGGAGGGAGGAGGAGGAGGCGGAGGAGGAGGAGAGGAGGAGGAGGGAGGAGGAGGAGGAGGAGGAGAAGGAGGAGGAAAAGGACTTCCCCCTGGGACCCCCCTCTTGGGGAGGAGGACCGGAGGAGGACTGGCGCGGGAGAGGGGATGGGAGGGGGAGGAGAACCCCCAAGGACGGAGGCGTATCTGACCCCCTCCCCCGCCTGGGACTCCTCCCCACCTGGGGAGGAGGACCCGAGGAGAACCGGCGCGCCAGAGAAGGACCAGCGTGGGAGAGGAGGACCCTCAGAGGCGATGCGAATCTGACCCCGCCCCCCCCGGGCCCCCCCCCCGCCGGGGAAGGGACAAAGGGAAAGCGTTTCCCTTGGATGTAATGAGGACGCGGATGGAATTCCCTCAAGCTGCGAACCCGTTTCCCGAACGAGGAAGGGTGCGTTCTCTCTTTCTCTCCCCCGATGAGAGAGGAGGATTGGAAGGAGGGGACGAAAAAAGACTTCCTGTCGACGGCACCGGACAGACACCCCACACACGCCGACAGGGTCGGCGGATTTGCACGAATACGATTTCAAAACGATGCTTATTCATATGTAAACACATGTTTGTGTAAGGAGCTCACTTGCAACACGAGCCTCAAAAGCTCTTCGGAACTACAGAAGTGGAAGGCACTCTAACACAAGTTTGTACGTACATACATACATGCACACTGTACGTCCGTAGCCATTTTGGCTCAAGGCTACGAACCGCCCGACGACCGCGAGTCGGCCTCGGTCGGCGACTTCTGAGCGCGAGGGGGTTCGCGCTCTGAGGCCAAAGCTACTGACAACAATTGTGCCCCGTGCTGCCCTGCTGGGCTCCAGCCCTCGGCGCCTGCCTTCCAGAAGCGTTCCCCTCTAGACATATTCCTGCGGGGGGAGTGCCTGATGGAGCTGCCGGTTCTCGCTCGCGACGACCTGGCAAGACGGGAAGTTCCGGCACGGGCGGCAGGCGGAGAGCGGGCTCGCCCTCGCCGCAGGGCGAAGCTCACCGCAGCAGGAGCCAAGAGCCTGCTGGCTCGGGCGTTCGTGCTGGTCCTCCTGCTTCTGCGGACATGGAGGCCGAGGGCCCTCTGCACGCGGATGGTGGCGATCCCTGGGCTGCGCGCGGACGTGCTGGTCGGTGGTCGAAGGAGCGCGACGAGCCGCCTCCCATCTCCATCGCCTCGCCGCAAGATGAGGGGAAGCCTAGGGCTGCTCCCGTGCTGCGAGGCGAGCTCGACGACATCTTGGCAGAGCTGCGCTCAAGCATCACGTCTTCGGTCACAACGTCGGTCCAGGAGTCTGCGGCGCGCATGGAGCGCAGCATCTTCGAGAGCACCGCCAAGGCCGTCCGCTCGTTCGCCCAGCGCCAGGAGGCTTTCAACGTGGAGATGGGGCTGCGCGTCGAGGACCTTGACGCGCGCCAGGACGTGTTGGAGAGGTTGTATCGGGCGATGCGTTCGCAGATCGCGGAGATGCAGGCCATCGTGCACCAGTGCGAGCAGGCAGCCCCGGTCGCCGTGGACGTGTCCGACATGGCCAGCTTCGCGCGCGACCCGAACCCCACGATCTTCGTTGCCACCACGAAGGAGCCTGTCGCGCTCGCGGCCGTCAAGGAGAGCCTCGTGCCGCAGCTCGTGGCTGGCGACTTCGCGGAGGAGAAGTGGGAGCTCACGGGCGAGAGCCCAGGGCGGCGTCTCGTGCTCCAGTTCAAGGGCTCGGAGGGCATCGCGGCACGGCATGTGCAGCACGCCTTCAAGCAGCTCAAGCCCCCGTCAGGTGAATGGCGGCGATTTGAGGCCGCGACGCCTGCGGGGGACCGCGCCGCCGTCTTCGTGGGCACTGACAAGGGCCCCCAGATGGCGCGGCGCGAGATCGATACGAAGAGGCTCCTCGAGGTGGTCAAGGCGACGGGGTGCCGCGGCAGGCGGAGGGCGCATCGCGCCCAGGGTGTCATCTACATGGGTTCCTCCCCCGTCATCAGGGCCCTCGTGCCCAACAGCTCGTCCGAGCCATCGACGCTGGAGTGGAACTTCCGCATGGCCACGGACATCGGCCTCGACTAGACGAAGATCAAGGAGGCATTCGAGGAGCGCTTTGGCGCGGCGGACCGTGTCCAGT